GCAAATAATATGTATATGAAAAATTACGATAAAAATAAACCTTCAAAATATATCACTTAACTTGTACGGATATGCAATGTCGCAATATCTGCCTACAGGTAATTTCAGATGGATGACACAAAATGAAATAAATAAAACCAATTTAGCTACGTATAAAGATGACAGTAAAACAGGACTTATTCTTGAAGTTGATCTTGGGATGATCCTAAAGAATTACATGATTTACATAATGATTTTCCATTACCTCCTGAACAAGTTAAAGTATCTGAAAATATGCTTTCAGATTATTGTTAACAAATAAAAGAAAAATTCAATATATCTATCGGTCAAGTACATAAATTGATACCAACATTAAGAAATAAACAAAAATATGTCCTACATTATCGTAATTTACAATTATATCTTGATTTAGGATTAAAATTAACAAAAGTACATAGGGTTCTCAAATTTTGATCAATCTCCTTGGCTAAAACCTTATATTGATCTTAATACAGAAAAAAGAAAACAAGCAAAAAATTAATTTGAAAAAGATTTCTTTAAACTTATGACTATGGAAAATGTTAGAAAAGAGTTGATGTCAGACTTGTCACTGATAAAGATAAATTGTTAAAACTATCAAGTAAGCCTACTTTTGTATCATCAAAAATATTCAATGACAATTTGGTTGCTGTTCATAAAATAAAAGAAACTTTGAAATTAGATAAACCTGCATATGTAGGAATGTCGATATTAGATATATCAAAGACTTTAATGTATGATTTTCATTATATTTATATCAAAAAGAAATATGGTAAAAAAGCTTAATTATTGTTTACAGATACTGATAGTTTAACATATGAAATTCAAACAAAAGATGTTTATAAAGATTTTTGGAAAAATAAAGATAAATTTGACAATTCTGATTATCCAGAAGACAGTCCATACTATGATAAACAAATAAGAAAGTCATTGGAAAATTCAAAGATGAAGCTGGCGGGCAAATAATAACAGAATTTGTTGGCCCCAGAGGTAAAATGTACTCTGACATTAAAGAAAATGGTGAAAATAATAAAACAGCCAAAGGTATTAAAAAAAAATAGTACTAAAAATGATCTTAAACATGCAGACTAAAAATACTCTTTTGGATAGTAAACAAATGTTTCATAAGATGAAGACAATAAGATCAGATTATCATCATTTGGGAAGTTATGAACTAAATAAAGTATCATTATCATCTTTTGATGATAAAAGATATATACGAAAAAATGGCATAAACTCTTATGCATATGGACATTATAAAATTTAATGTTTTTTCGTTTCAATAAAATGAACTGTTATTTCATTAGCAGTTTTTTGGTTTTAAAAATTCTATTTCATTCTGTAATTCAATTATTTCATTTTTAAAAAATCTTTCGTATTATTTACATTTCATTGGTGTAGCTGAGTATTAAGATGATTATGCTTTCCAGCTATTTTGTAACCTTTATTATTTAAACAAACAGGACAATAATACCATGACGTTGTCAAATTATAATTATTTTTATTTTTAGGAGTTTTCTCCATATTTTAAATTGTTCATATAACTTTATGTATTTTATACATAATCATTTAAAGAGAAGACGATATATACATATTGGTAATAATGAAAGTAATAATAGTCGATAATGTAAAATATCAGGTTCATCCTGTTTATGAAAACTATGCTGGCTCAAAAGCTGGTAAAGTAATTAATGTTAACAGACGAAATCCAATGGATGGTCATAATCCTTCTTCAAAAACTCAATATCATTTAAATGTAACACAAAAGATCAATATGGGAGTCAGCAGATTCATCTGGGAATGTTTTAACGGCTTGATTGATGATAAAAAAGCAGCAATTTTTCACGTCAACAGAAATATGAAGGATAACAGATTAAAAAATCTTAAATTAACAACAATTAGTGAAATTACTAAATCAGTTCATAATAAACATTGTTCATATAAAGCACAACCTGTTAAGGCAATAAATTGTGAAACGAAAAAAGTATCATATTATGAAAGGAAACAAATTGAATGTGAATAATCCTTCAATAAAATTTGTTTGCGATAAAAAATATGGTTTCAAACATGCATATACAAGAGACACTAAGGAAAAATATAAATTTAAATATATAACTAAGCATGAATATTACAGACGAATGATAGATAAATATGGTGGTGAGGAATATTTCGAACGATTGGAAAACCAAACATTTGATGACGACTTTGTTATAGAAAAAGACAATAGTGAAAAAATTGTTATAAAATTAAATACCCAGGATCTGTATTAAATCTTGGCTACCTAAATAGCCAAAACAGATGTAG